GGCTTGGCTAAAGAGCCCATCTGGGGACCAATTATTATAGCCAAGGTGATGGGATATTATAGTCAGCTCAGATTAGCCTGGGTTACAGCCCACACCTATGGGGAGAATAGAGTCATATGTCTATTTCCAAATAAGTGGATGTACAGGTGGGAAAAGATACCAAGATACTAATTTGCTAACTCTCAAATTAGAGCCTGTGGGCTGTTACGTCCAAGTATAGTAGCAGTCTTGCTTAAAGCTGGGGCATTAGTAATAAAACTTTAATTTTTCATTCAATTCTGGTTACAAGCCTTTAGTGAGATGATCTTCTAGAATTCATATAGAACTCAAAATCATGAGAGAATGTGACAGTGAGGCAGGAGATAGATGGGCTCCAGGCTAGGCATTTACAACTAGCCTTCCTGTTTACATTTCCTGAGGAAGAGGCAAGTGGGCTCTAGGCTAGAAACTTACAACCAACCTCCTATTTGCACACTGAGATGGAAATAACAAGAGGAACAGGGTAAATAACTGGACTTTGTCCCTTATGGACACTTTAAGATAACAGTTATGGCAGGGACAGAGACGGGGTGGGGGGGGGAAGAAAAACACAGATGGACACACTTTTAAGTCTCACTTCCTCCCATTTTATTTTCTGTTGTACTCAAATATATCACATGTATGTGCCAATTTTATCAAGTCAACTGTAAAAAAAGAAAAAAAGCAAAAAACCCTCAAAATCAGAGCCTTAGATTCAATATTAACTTCATCTCATTCCCAGGTTCTTATCTCCGTAGGGGAAAAAAACCTGAGACAGAAGGAGTCTGAGAAGGCCTGGTTTTGCCCACAGTATGTGTTTTGCCCACCCAGCTCTTTTTTTGTAGAATGTACAGCGATTTAATTCCCTGGAACTGCAGGTGCAGACATGCTGGTCCCTGCCTCACTGGGCTGTCCTCGGGTCTTTTGTGAGCTCTATATTCAGGGCTCTGTTGAATGACACACCCCAAGAATGGCCTCTCTCAGGACACACGCTGCAGGCAGTGACATTTAGCTTATTTCCTCTGGTGGGACCTACTATCTCCATGGGAGACCAAGGGGAGTCTTTGAAGGTGTCCGTATGAAGTGGCCGACATTTCATCCTCTCTACTTCCAGCCGAGGAGCTCTGGGCAAGAGAGCAAGACCACTTGCCAGAAAGTTCTGAGGCTTGTGGCTGACAGAGCCCAGGTCCTCTGTGGCCCAGGGTGGTGGACCTGGCTCATGTGTGTGTGTGATTTATGAAGCAACCACAAACTTCCATAAAGAAATTGATGGGCAAAAAGTATATGTTTAAGTAAAATATTCACATTCGTGAATAAATGTCTTGGATCTTTCTGTAATTGTGAAGAGTTTTTAAAAAGGCTTTAGCACAGGGAACTTTTCTCAATATTCTGTAATGACCTATATGGGAAAAGAATCTAAAAAAAGGGTGGATATATGTATATGCATAACTGATACACTTGGCTGTATAGTTGAAACTAACACAGCATTTTAAATCAGTTATATTCTAATAAATTTTTTTAAAAAAGGCTTTAATTACTAAAATTCAGGTAAAGAAATCAGAAGCCACATGGGTTGGGGCTAAGATAGCAGGAGCAGAGAGCATTTTTTTTCCCCTGGTGCCTCCTCAGTGATATTTTTTTAAGGTAAACGTTGACATAATTGTGAACACTGTGGAGAAGTCGATTGTCGGAGACATAGTACAAAAGCTAGATTTTGATCTATGCAGAGAGAATGTCCAAGGGGGCTCAGTTTCCAGAATTTAGCCTGGGACATGTAGGGGAGGGGAAAGGAGGGAGCGGGAGGGAGGGAGGGAAAGGGGGAGGGAGGGGGAGAACGGAGGAAGAAGGAGAGCCAGGGAGAAGGCTGGGGGCGAGGTCTGGGGAAGGAAGGGTGGAGGAATTAGTGGGGGAAGGAGACGGGGAGACTGGGGGCGGGCATGGGGGGCAGGTAGAAGAGAGCCAGGGGAGAGAATTGACATTTGCTTAGCATTCATCAGATGTCAGGCAGTATGCTTTCACATAAATTACTTCATTAAATCTTTACAAAGTCTCTGCAGGTTAGATATAGTTGAATCCTCGATTTTCAAATGGAGAAAGTGAGTCTCGGAAGTGTTAAAGAACTTGTCCGAGGTCCCAGAGCGAGGAAAAAAAATGGCTGGACGCAAACCCTCATTTGCGTTCTGCCAAAATGCTTGTTCCTTTCTCAGCATCCTGTTTACTTGTAGCATTTGTCATTGGATAAGATGAAAGCAGTGGGCAAAGGAAGTCTTTGGAACAGCCTTTAACTGAGCCTGTGCATGTGCTGAGGCTCTACTGTCAGCGATGGCGATGATCTGAGGAAGATGACGCTTGGAGAATTATAAATTGTAAAGGCAATGCTCGATAAGGATGCCCTTAGGAAGGGAACTACACACTTCACGAGAAGAAGCAGCCTCCGCAGGAACTATTTGGAACAAACTAGTTTCACTGTTCTGGATAAAATCAGAATCTTGACAGGAGCAGTCCCATTCCACCCTGGGGGCATCCACAGCAACGGTCATTCTCCAACCAAATAGTTGACTTGCGTCACATCCAAATATGCTTCTCCCTATCCAGCAGAACTGACCCATTTATGAGACTTCAAACGGCATTTTCACTTTTTTCCTTCTAGAAAATCCAAATGAAACTCAGACACCCACCACAAATCAGGAGGTACTGGTGCATGACACATAGTAGGCAATCATTAGAGCTGAAACCGTAAGTGAATGTTCAAAGCTCTCTTGGAGAAAAGGATCAATTACTTTCATGAAAAAATCACCGATGTGTTAGGAACTATATGGAAATAGTACTGCATGCAGTCGTCAGCTGTAATTGGTTTGGGTCTAGTTGGTCTAACTCTTCATTATTGAGATGATTACACTGCTTAGGGCCATGTTTCTAGAGTTTGTTCCCTGGAACATCTGTATCAGAATCACTTGGGACCCAGCCCATATCTTAGGCATCAAGGCCTTGAAATCTCTATTTTAATAAAAGCCCCTGGAAATATGTTATTCAAACTAAAATTTTAGAACTACTGATACAAGGGTTAACCCAACGTCTCTGTTATACAATTATAGACCTGGGGCTGTCTTTAATAAAATTTAGGTGCTAGCCCACTTAGGTATAAATTAGCTAGGACTCAGTCTTTTTGGACACGCAGGCTCAGCGGCCATGGCTCACGGGCCCAGCCGCTCCGAGGCATGTGGAATCTTCCAGGACCAGGGCACGAACCCGCGTCCCCTGCATCGGCAGGCGAACTCTCAACCACTGCGCCACCAGGGAAGCCCAGGACTCAATCTTTTATTACTATAGATTCTAGACCAATATTTCTCAACCTTTAATGCATGTAAGTCACCCAGGGAGTTTACTAAATGGTAGATGCCCAGGCCCCATTCAAAGGGATTGGGTTAAGTTAGATTTTCTGCATTTTAAACAATTATCCTATGTGATTCTGATGCAGGGATTCTGCTAATTTCACACTGAATATAGAGCCCTCTGGAAAACAATATTCCTGTCAAGTAGTTAAGCAACCTCTGAGAAGACAATTTGTTACTGATTTTAACACCTCTTAAGGCAATAAACTCCATCTGTAAGTAGCTTTAATTGCCAGAAATTTCTTCTTACGTTGTTTCAATATAAAGTCTTATGTAATCTGTCTATCTGGTTCTCTTAAATAGAACTACACAGAAACATTTAGTCCCCAATATTATTTTTAAGAAAATATACTTGACCAAGAACTTAAGTGTTTCTCTTCCCTCTAGATCTCTGTTTTGCTTCTTTAGGGGACAGTGGGGAGGTGAGGAAACTGTAGGGATACAAAAATGTATCTCTGAGCAGACTGCAAGGGCCTCTGCTATTTGTATAGCAACAGTGTTTAGAAAATCAAACACCTAGAACTTGGAATTCTCATTTCCTAGGATAATATCACAACACACATAAACAGACAAAGAAGAACCCCAAACATGTCATTCTGAGCTGCTCTGCATATGGGAGAGTTGACGAGGGGAAAGGTTAATAAGGAAGAAGGTGAGGCTGATTCACATGAGGCAGGTGCCATTTTGGAAGAATCAATGGGGACCCCCAGTTCTCCCAGGTGCTTGCTCCTTCCTGTCTAGTTGCAGACCTGGCCAGGGTGGGCAGCTGGTTCTTAGAGCCACTGAAGTCAGCTCTCAGGAGTAGGTACAAAGAAGGTAACCAGCTGGAAAAATATGGACATGTTTCCAGGCATTTCACCATGACTTTCCCAAATCCTTGGAGCTTGACTACTTTATCCCATATGTATGCTTTAAAAAAATATTTTATTTTATTTTATTCATGGATTTCAAAGGAAATTAATTACTAGTACAGTGTCAAAAGGCAGCAGGAATGGATTTGGACATGAAGGGAGGGGTACCCAGAGTGGTCACGGGGGTATTGGGGCTATTACTGAAAACAGTGGGATTCGGGCAAGTTAAAGAATCTGTGTCCCAATTATTCATTTACAAAATGGGGATAAAATAATAACAAGTAACTTTTAGCATTGTTTGACTACTAGGTAAGGAAACATAACATGTGTTAATTCCTAAACACGTGTTGGTACATAGTCAGTGCTCAAAAACCAGAATGTCAGTCATCATTATTAGCATCAGTAATGGTAGTGCTAGTTTGCCAGAAAGACAATCATGAACTAACACCAATTAGTTCTATTTGAATGGTACTTAGAATGATGACTTAGGTCAGGATAAGCAAAAAGGGTGACTACAAATAAATACATTAAATGCAGCAGGTTGCCTTTGCCTCTATTTTCCCATTCACTTAGGTAAGGAGAGATTGAATTTTGGACCTGGGGGAAGAGAAGACACGAGTCTTAAGTGATCTGCCTCAGACACATGCACTGTTGCCATTTTTCTTAGAGAAGGTTTATTTTCTTTCTGCTACTCTAGCCAATTTTAGGATATAAGAGTCACACACCAGAAGTCTTGCTTTGTGTACATGTTTTTAATAATAACAGTTTTCAAATTGCTTATGCTCTGTGGTGGGAAATAAGAACAGGGTGACTCCAGAATGTGAATTCAATATGTTTTCTAAGAACATCTGGGATGATGAGCCCTGACATGTTCTTAAACATACAATAAACCTGAAGTGAAGGCGTTTATATCATTACCACGCCAGCATCTGAATTTGGGTATTGGTTGAGATGTAGAAAGCACTATAGGTTCTAGACGGTCTCTAGCTCCCTAGCTGTGTAATTGCTGGGACTTTATTAATTTAACCTCTGCAACATGAGAATGAAAACACCCGCTCTGCATAACTTACAGCAATGTTGAGCGCTTTAAAGAAAAATAATTAAAGTGCTGATCCAAAGCAAGCTGGCATCCCTCTCACAAATCGGAACTCTGAAGTCTCGGCTTCATTTTGGAATTTTCACCGGTCTGCGCAAGCGCTCCTGAAAGAACAGCACAGAGGAAGGATACACCCAAGGTTTTCTTCCTCGTTTTGAGGCCAAAAGAGCTCAATGTAGTTGCGATCTCATATTCCCCAGACCAGTTTTGGGTTCCAGAACCACGAAGTAAGATGGCTGGAGGAGAGACATTTACACAGGCGCAGAGGGGGCAGCCTCAGTTCAGGTTGTTACCTGAGTCCCCAGAGACCAGGTGGACTCCCCCCCTCCCCCTACCATGCCAGACACTCAGTCCAGGTTTTTACTTCATTAATGAAATATGACCTCTCTTTTCTTTTGTAATCCAGAAGTGTGAGGATACATTTGTTGCAAACTGCATGCAGATAAATGGGGGGCTTCCTTTTGAAACTACATCCTCTGAATAATAAGTTTTAATCTACTATACATAACAGTAGTGCATTTCTTGTTAAAACGGCAAGCTTTTTTTTTTTTACCAAAATGAAAACATTCATTTCTTTATAAATAATTTAAATAGTTTAAATACATATTTCATACCAAGGATATAAAAATAGTGTCTCTTTTTTTTCTGATAAATAAAGACATATTCATTTACATGGCAAATAACGTGCAATAGCTGACCACTGGCCACCAGCTCTGTGTGACTGATTGTCTAGGAGATGACATGCAGTGATAAGTGTCCCTTTGCCTTCTGCATTTGAAAAATAGATCAGCAAGAGCTGTGCACTCCCAGGGCCCACAGTCCTATAGATACTGTTCAGGAGTGACACACAGGCACTCAGGAAAAACTTTGCTGCACTTCACAAAAGCCACCTAGGACAAAATGAATCCACACATTCTCTGTCTGGGACATCTAGCTGCTCAGACCCTCAGGGTCTTTGGACTTTTACCAAAGTCTGTCAAACAGACCAGGAAGTTAATGCCTGTACAGGAAAATGTTCCTATTTTGTTTCTAGGATCCAGGAAGTGTTTGCTACAGTCTGGAGGTGGTTCTGCCTTTCCCCGGACCCTCTCTTCCACAGGTCTCCCAGCCTTGCCCAGTCTTCATGCTGCCAGAGGCAAGAAAGGCAAACCAGGGCTGTCATGCAGTGGTGGAGCTGAAACTGGCGGCTGCCTCACATGCCCTAATATCATACGTTTATGGCTTTAGTATCTTTCACTTCTGCTGGGCTTGTGACAACTTCCAGTGGAAAGTTCTCCGAGGGTTCAGTAGTGATGGATGCCCTTCCTTCCCGGTCCCAAGATCCTGGCAGGTTTTCCAGACTGAAGGAACTCATGGCTCCTTGGCCCAAGCTGCCCTCCTCCGATCTGCTTGGGAGAACCAGGTGCAAAGATGTTTCTGAGGAGGAACAGACAGAGGACGAGAGAGTGGCCGAGATGGACTGCAGAGGCATCAGCGTAGTGTCTGACTGTGGAGAGATGCACCTTAAAAGCTGCAAACGACCTTCTTGGACGACCTGGTAGCGGGCAGGTGAATAATCAAGGTTCGGAGAATGATACAGTTCACCGCCTGCAGGATTTTGCTCGTAAACGCCAGTTCGCTGGGGGCTGCTCCCCACAGAGGAGGGATCCACACTCCATATGTCAGGGGTGACATTCCCATGACAAAGCTGGGCTTGGGTATAAGCGGCTCCACCTGCTTGCAAGTGTAGACAGGGTTGGTGCGTGCTCCAGGTCATCCTGGTCTGTAAGCTGGAGGGACACACAGAGGTGGTGTGCAGAGAGCAAAACCGAGCGGGCTGCTGGGGGGACACGACGTGTTCCAGAAGCTGCATCACAGTCCTCATGTCTTTACCTAACTGGGACACCTCCTGAGTCAGTGTCGTTACCTGTGTGGACAAAGCAAGGCAAAAGGCAGCAGGCAGTGATTTCAGAGCAGTGAGGAAGGGAAATGAGATTTCTCAGTAAGAAGGTCTGGAAGGCTGCTTCACCTCCAACTCCAGCCAAGCCCAAAGGGTGAATGGGGTGGCTGAGCACCTGATCTAAAGCCATCCTCTCATTCTGCGGGAACCTAGAGAGACACACATAGTCTGGCCTTCTTTTTAAAAAATTTTACATACATTTTTTAATTGAAGTATTGTTGATTTATAATGCTTCAGGTGGACAGCAGTGATTCAGCTATATATATATATATATATATATATATATATATATATATATATATATATATATATATATTCCTTTCCAGATTCTTTTCCCTTATAGGTTATTACAAAATATTGAATAGAGTTCCCTGTGCTATACAGTAGGTCCTTGTTGATTACCTATTTTATATACAGTAGTGTGTATATGTCAGTCCCAAACTCCTAATTTATCTCCCCTGTTTCCCCTTTGGTAACCACAAATTTGTTTCCTATGACTGTGAGTCTATTTCTGTTTTGTAAATAGGTTCATTTGTATCATTTTTTTAGATTTCACATATACGTGATATCATATGCTATTTGTCTCAGTCTGACATTCTTAATCAGTGATTTGCAGGTTCCTGGACAAAATTAGAAGTGTGGGTCCATCATCTCTTGCATCTCTGAAATGCAGACAGTGTCTTTTGCTTCCCTTCCTCTGAGTTAGCGGGATGCTCCGTGGTGCGCACCCACCATCCAAGACACCTCAAAACAATGTGGAGACGTGCGTATTGCTGTATATAACGCACTCAGCACGCTGCCTGCCCAGGGTAGACACCCAGTAAATGACGGTTCTCACTGCTGCCATTTCTGGTCAAGATCAACACTTAGTCAGAGATATACTGGCCTTCAGGGGTAGGGAGGGTGCTAAGAAAGAACTCACAACAGACTTGCTAGGATTTGTCTATAGAAAAGGGAAAGCTGCAAAATGAGAGTTAGAAACGAAAAGGTCTTCAAGGTGGGTCCGTCCACATAAGCACTGTGGGGAACCCTGGAGGGCTGGGGTCCATCAGTGAACCGGAACCCCACGGAATTACAACCCCAACTGTGCAGTGTGTTCTTTTTTTTTTTTTTTTTTTTGTGGTACGTGGGCCCCTCACTGTTGTGGCCTCTCCCGTTGCGGAGCACAGGCTCCGGACGCGCAGGCTCAGCGGCCATGGCTCACGGGCCCAGCCGCTCCGCGACATGTGGGATCTTCCCGGACCACGGCACGAACCCACGCCCCCTGCATCGGCAGGCGGACTCTCAACCACTGCGCCACCAGGGAAGCCCTGTGCAGTGTGTTCTTTATTCACTTTTCTAGGTGAGACATTTAGTTTGTATAAGACCTTCAAGGGAGACATGACCCTCAAACTCGCAAGAACCTCTGAAGAGTCTTCATTATCTGCTTTACACTTAAACCAATACTGTAATTCACCGGAGGATTTATTTTCCTAACAACCACATCCCATTTTTTAACCATGGAAGACCACCAGAAAATTGAACTTGACTTATATCCAGCTTTTCTGGATGGTTTCTATTCTTCAAAATGAGGAAAACCTATATTTCAGAAAGCAGGCCACACATATATTTTCTAGTCTTTGGTTAGATTCGCAACACGAACACATAGTGTAATATTTTGCCCTCATTGCTATAAGACTGTATTTTATAAAGGACTTCCCATGCCCCGATTTTACTCTCATGAACCACAAACTCCAATATAAGCAGCTGAACCCACTGGCTAAATACCATCAGAAAAAAAACAAAACAAAACAAGACAAAAGGGCAGTTCAGTTTCAATGAAGCCAAAACCAAGATTGCTGTTTGGGGCAGACTTTTTTCAATATTTAAGTATACATTCCTAATTCATCCAGTAACTTCATTCAGTCCACTTCCTATAAGTGCATTCTGAAACGAATTCCCCATGGCAGGCCCATCAGGAGGTAGTGTCATTCAAATCAGGCATTTTTAAAAGACCAGAAGGAGGTTTTTCCATGGTTCAGGCAACCAACTGGTAACACCTGCCTTGAAATTGCCAGGCCAAAACTATTTCTGCCTTGCTGCTAGCATGGAACTCGAGGGACCCTATCGAATACTTGCCCAGGCTTTTCAGCAGATCTAAAACTTTTGGCGAGAAAAAGATATCTCTGAGACTCACATTTAAGAAGTGAAACAGTGAATCTGAGAAAGAGTCTATGTGTTTTGAAATTTTCACTGCAGGTTGTCAATTTCAGAACTTGCCAAAACTCAATTCTAAAGTACACGGGTGACACAAATCATCTCTGGATCTCAGCACAGCAGACATGCACCCAGGGGTTCTATCTTGAGTTGATTAGCCCTTCTATCAAAATTTCAGAAGAGAAAGTTGATACTAAATGAGATGTTTGAAGGATATATTAACCGTCCCCTTCCTGTAGGTGGTCTAAGTTAATGCCTGTATCAAGTTCACCAGGGTTCAGCTCCCAGTAAGAATGCTTTCAGTCAGCCTTAGCATTGAATAAAGACAAAATCTTTGAAGCGCAACTTTGCATTTTAGACACAGCAACAATTATGTTATCCAATAAATGAGTACATTTATAATACAACAAGCTTTTAGGTCCGTTTTCCCTATTGGATCTACAAACAACACTAAGATCAGCAGGGACGCACCTGTAAAGTGGGGACACTAAGGCCCAGAGGTTAAATGACATTTTAAGGTCTCTTATTTCATGAATGACAGTTGTTGGTCTGGAATCCGAGCCTTCTAGTTTTGGTGCTCTATTACAGTATATTAGAGAAGACATTGCCTAAGAGTTGAGAGATTTTTGCCAATGCGGTCAGAGTTTGTGAAGAGCACAGATGATACAAAAAGGAGCCTCGTGTAAAAATTGTCTGCAATGGGTTCATTTTTTTTTTTTCACATATAAGCAATGTCGTATGATATTTGACTTTGTCTGACTTACTTCACTTAGTATGATAGTCTCTAGCTCCAACTTATACACAAAACAGAAACAGACTCACAGACATAGAAAACAAACTTATGGTTACCAAAGGGGAAGGATGGGGGGGAGGGATAAATTAGGAGCTTGGGATTAACGTATACACACTACCGTATATAAAATCAACAACAAGGGCCTACTGTATAGCACAGGGAACTATACTCAATATCTCACAATAACCTATAAAGGAAAAGAATCTGAAAAAGACTCTCTCTCTCTCTCTCTATACACACACACACACACACACACACACACACACACACACATACATATATGTATATGTAAAACTGAATCACTTTGCTGTACACCTGAAACTAATACATTGTATTTAAAAATAAAATTTATAAAAAAGTTGTCTGAAATGGTAATTCAACATCAAATAAGTAAATAGTATCTCTAAAAAAATAGGAGACAGTAAAATTTCTTCACAGCAAATTATATGAATGGAACAAGACCAAAAATGTTTGTACAGGGAAGTCCCTGGCAGGCCGGTGGTTAAGAATCCGCCTGCCAATGCCAGGGACACGGGTTCGAGCCCTGGTCCGGGAAGATCCCACATGCCACGGAGCAACTAAGCCCGTGTGCCACAACTACTGAGCCTGCGCTCTAGAGCACGTGAGCCACTACTACTGAGCCTGTGCGCCTAGAGCCCGTGCTCCACAACAAGAGAAGCCACCGCAAGGAGAAGTCTGCAATGAAGAGTAGCCCCTGCTCGCCGCAACTAGAGAAAACCTGCGCACAGCAACGAAGACCCAACGCAGCCATAAATAAATAAATAAATAAATAAATAAATAAATAAATAAAAGAAAACATATGCTTTTAAAAAGAAAAGGGTTTGTAATAAGGAAAAATCTGGAAGTGGGAAATATGTTAATAGACATATTGCTGATGAACTATTTTTTTCTAGCTTTCAAAAGAAACATATTTTTCTATGGTTGAACTACCTTTCCAAGGCCACGTTCGTGGCACTGAACTTTTCCTGAGCATTTACCATAACTTTGAGGCCATGAACTTTGAATGGGACTCCAGAGTCTTGACTAGCTCCAGGAATGTAAATAGCATTAACATTTTCAGAAAAAAAAAAATACTATATTAGCTTGAACTAAGCGGAGTAAAGAACCCAAGGAAATAGAGCTTTCTTCAGCTCTAGAGGGTAATGTTCAATTTACATCAGGGAAGACTTCTGTCACTGTGGCACTGGGGACACACCCCTGCCCCTTAGTAAAGCTGCATAGGGAATTAATCCTTAGTAGGTAAGGGATCTCTCCCTTTGTAAGGGCAAAGCCAGCTGCCACAGGAGAGATGGCATCTCCTGAGGGTAGAGACTCTGTTGTCACTGAAGGTGATAACATACTGCCACAGAGTAAAGCTTCACAGCACTTTTGTTTACTGCTTTCTGCTCGCCTTGCTGACAAATTCATTCTAAAACACAAAAGGCTTTATTCTTAATCAAATGTAGAAAGCAGAGAATGCAAAGTCTCTACTTTCTAAGGGGGGTGGGATTCAATGCTTTTTCACAGCACAGTTAAGAAGATGGGCATTTGCTAAAAAAGGTTGTTGGAACTACCTTATGAACAAGGCACTGTCTGTCCACTTAAAGAGATGTCTTCAAAATACAACATAAACCCAGAATGCTGCAGAGATAGGTCAATAAAAACAAAAAATCATTTGGATCCAATGAACCAATGTTTTCTCATTTACTTCAACAACTGTTTACACTTTTTAAATGTCTTCTGTCACTCATATTAGAAAACAGAGCAGGTATTACGAAGCCCTTCACAAGTCCCACTTGGTTTTTTTTTAATCATTAATTTAATTTTTTTAAATTGAAGTATGATTTACAATGTCGCGTTAGTTTCAGGTGTACAAAGTGATTCAATTATACAGCTATATATATGTATATATATATTTTTTCAGATTCTTTTCCCGTATAGGTGATTACAAAACACTGAGTAGAGCTCCCTGTGCTCT